GAGACACATTCGACCTGCGCCACTGGGACCTGCGGTGGAACTCCCTCTGGGGCCACGAAACGCTGTACTGGGCGGGGGAGACGCATTCGAACTGCGCCACCGGGACCTTCGGTGGAGCTCCCTCTGGGGCCACGAAACGCTGTGCTGTGTGGGGGAGACGCATGCGAACTGCGCCACTGGCACCTTCGGTGGAGCTCCCTCCCTATCGGGCCACGAAGTGATGTACTGGGCGGTGGACACGCATGCGAACTGCGCCACTGGCACCTTCGACGGAGCCCCCTCTGGGGCCACGAAACGCTGTACTGGGCGCGGGAGACGCACGCGAACTGCGCAAATGGCACCTTCGGTGGAGCTCCCTCCGGGGCCACGAAACGTTGTGCTGGGTGGGGGAGACGCACGCGAACTGCGCCACTGGCACCTTCGGTGGAGCTCCCTATCGGGCCACGAAACGCTGTGCTGTGTGGGGGAGACGCATGCGAACTGCGCTATTGACACCTTCGGTGGAGCTCCCTATGGGGCCACGAAATATTGTACGGGGCGGTGGAGACGCATGCGAACTGCGCCACTGACACCTTCGATGGAGCTCCCTATGGGGCCACGAAGTGCTGTACTGGGCGGGGGAGACGCATGCGAACTGCGCCTCTAGGACCTTCGGTGGAGCTTCCTATTGGGCCACGAAGCGCTGTACTGGGCGGGGGGGGCGCATGAGAACTGCGCCACTGGCACCTTCGGTGGAGCTACCTCTGGGGCCACGAGACGCTGTACTGGGCGGGGGAGACGCATGCGAACTGCACCCTTGGGACCTTCGGTGGAGCGCCCTATGGGGCCATGAAGCGCTGTACTGAGTGTGGCGATGATGGTGATGATGACGGCGATGACGATGACCATGACGATGCCGATGATGCTAATGATGCTAATGATGATGATTATAATGATGATGATGATGATGATGATGATGATGATGATGATGATGATGATGATGATGATGATGATGATGATGATGATGACGGTCATGAGGACATGCGGAGGGCAGAGGCAAGGGATGGGAGGAGGGGGAGGGAGGAGGATGGAGAGGAGGAATGAGGAGACGCGGGGCGCTGTCTCTTCAAAGCGAAGGCCCAACACCACAGGATGGTAGGGAATCAACGAACCGACACCGAATGTGTAATCAATTCCGATGGTTTTTTCGGGATGCCATTTTCTAGATTTTGGGGCCTATTTGGGAGGACCGAAAACCATGCCGGGGAAAGGCACTCGAAATAATGACGCCAGCGTTGCAGCGGGAACACGATTCGGAACGAGCGGAAGCGCGGAAATGAGGCCAGCGCTTCAGCGGGAGCATGATTTGGAATGAGGAATGAGCGGTAGCCCGAAAATGAGGCCAGCGCTTCAGCGAGAGCAGCATTTTGAAAATAAATCCAAGCGAAAACACAACTCCCGGGAATCCTGTGTGTAAAAAACCTGTACGCGGAGGGGGCCGAACATTCCCGGACGCGACTAGGGGAGAGAGGAGAGTAGTATTCATGTTGTATTTGTCAAAGGAGAAGGCCCTTCTCAGTAGGCGGCGGGACTCTTCTCAGAAGCCCTCGCGCCTTCTAAGAAGTCATCGGGGAAGGCTAAGAAAACGTCTCATAAGGTCGGGGGACTTGCGAGCCTTCTGAGAAGGCCCGCCCCTTCTCACTTCCTCCCCTCGCTCGCTCCCAAGAAGAGAAGGTGCAGTTGCCCAGCTGCCTCCCCCAGCCCCATCCTCGTCGCCCACCCCTTTCCTCCTCTCCCCCTGCCCTTCGCCGTGCCCACTGTCCCCCTCTCCATGCCTGCCCTTCCCCATCTCCCTGTCCCCCCCCCCTGCCTCTCCCGAGATAGAGACACGGGTCGAGATGAAGGCAGAAGTGGGATAATGGGGCATACGGCATACAGACATGTTGATATACATGTAGGACCTTTTTTCGGGGTGTTGAGGAGGTGTTGTGGCGGATGGATACAACTTGCGGTTTGCGTCGGATCGGATTTGCAATCCATCTATGTATCGATCTCATTTTCGATCGTTCGTTATCACCCTCTCGATGTCCTGGACTCTCGTAACACAATCAGTTGTTGATCGGCCATATCATTAACCGGTCTCACTTTATACTTATCCATCTGCATGTCAATCGATCCCACGATCAATGCATGAACGATCCAGCAGTCACACAAAGTATCGATCACATGACAACTACAGGACACCCATGAGACCATTGCGGGACAACCACAAAATCACCACACAACAACCACAAGATAACCACGGGACAACCACTGGACAACACCAGGACAACCACGCGGCAGTCGCGAGACAACTATCGGACAGCCTCTGGCGCGAGAGAACCACGGGAGAACCACATAGCACCCCCCGAACAACCAAGGAACAACGATTTGGCAACCCAGCCGCGGGACAATCGCAACGGGCAACCACGCGACAAGCACGGGAGCCCCACAGAACAACCACGGGACAACACGGGGCGTCCGCGGGACAACCACGTGTTTTCCATACTTATATATATACGCGTATCTATCTATCTATCTATCTATCTATCTATCTATCTACCTATCTATATATCTCACGGTTCTGGTACCACCACCATGACCTACACATGTTCATATTTGTATATGTATATATACATATATGAATATGCACAAACTATATGTATAGTATATATCTATAGATAGACACCGTTTGTTATTGGTTACCCATCTACCGATCTCGCGACCCATCAATCGATCCCACGATTCATCATGACAACCATCGGGACAACCATCGGGGTCACCATAGAAACTGCCATCGGCACAACCATCGGGACAACCATTGGGACAACCATCGGGACCGCCATCGGGACACCTATTTGGACAACCATCGAGACAACCATCGGGACAACCACGGGACAACCACGGGACAACCGCGGGACAGCCGTGGGCCGAAGCTGCCAACCAGACGGGACGAGAGATGTTTCATTGTCTTCGCCCTAGCAACGGCGGGATCGCTTCTGTCGCCCGCTCACGCTACTTCGCACGCACGACACGAGCACGAGTCTGTCCCCGGCTTCCCTGGGGGGGGGTCCGTTTCACTTCGAGCTCCCCCCCCCCGACTTTCGACACATCGTACATGATTTAGGGGTTAGGGTTTCTACGCTACGAGGAAGCCCCGGAGGCTTCCCTTGGCGCGCACTAGATGGATCGCCCAGTCCGCTCGGCCGCCCCGTCAGATATGGGACGACGTTCGCTCGGCGATCTCCCGATGCAGTTCCGACGTGAATCTCACGCAATCCGATGTGATCCCGACGTGATCTCAAGCTGCCGCGAGAGGCCTCCGGGACTTTCCTCATAAGTTCTCCATCAGGGTTCGACCGAAACGTAGTGCTTCAGGAGGGTAAAAAAAACACGAAAAAACCACACAGACACAATGAATCGTCGATTCCCAGGAAAACATGGGAAAATATGGGAAGTTGGGGGGAAGACAAAAACTTAGAAAATATAGGAACATATGGGGAATCATTTTGTTTGTGTGTATTTATTTGTGTGTCCCAGGGCCCCTTCAGTGTTGACGAGTTCGTGGGCCGTTTACGTCTTGAATTCGCTCTGCTGCGACGGCGGACCCCCCGGACAAAAAACGAGGGAAGACGAGCACAACGCGAAGACGAAAGGCACTGCTTGGGCCGAGCCCTGGTTTCGATGTCGCCCCCCCCCAATGGGATGGGTCCCGGTAGGGGGCCACTTGCGAACCTTGCCCCTACCCCCCACGATTTCTGAGTGGGAGGGTGGGGTTCACTTTATTCAGGATCTCCCGAGCGAAGTGAACCCCACCCTCCCCCTCAGAAATCGTGGGGGGTAGGGGTAGGGTTCGCAAGTGGCCCCCTACCCAGGGCTCCTTCGCCTCCCCCAGGGGGGGGGGGGAAGTTCGGCGTCGCGCCATGGGGGGGCGATCACTAGGGAGGCAGCGAGGGCTGCAGAAGAGGAACCATTTAGGGGGTCCGGAAGGGGGCCTCTCATTGGGGCCCACAAGTGGGACGGTTCGGGGCCCGAAACATGCACCTTTCTCCCCCTTCCCCCCGCACTTCTCGCCCTCCCCCGTTCATCTAGGCCTCCCAGATGGGGTCCGCGCAGATGGGGTCGGAGGTTTGCGCCGCATCGCCGATGCACCGGCGATGCGGCTCGATGCGGAGCCCGATTTTCTCCACGCCCACGTCGCCGATGCATCGCCGACATCGCCAATGCATCGCCAGTACATCGCCGATACATCGGCGATGCATTGGCGATGCGGCGCGATCTTTCGACCCCACCTACCTCATCTAGGAGGCCTCTAATGAAGCGACGCCCGAGGGGGGAGGGTGGAGGCCGGACAGGAGCACTCGTGGGACATGAAGAGGCAGGGCGGCAGCAAGGCGTCGAGGCATCAGGGCATCAGTCGAGCACATCAGCAGTGCACGAAGGCACGGTTCATCAAGAGATCAGAACGCCCCTTGCGATGTTCGGTGGCGAGCGAGGGGGGGAAGTGCGAAGGAGAAGGCCTTTTCAGAAGGCTCGGAAATCCTCCAGCCGTCGGAGATGTGTTCTAAGCCTTCCCCGAAAATACAATCAGCTTCTCAGAAGTCGCGAGGGCTTCTGAGAAGTCCCGCCGCCTTCTGAGAAGGCCTTCTTCTTCTCACTTCCCTCCCTCGCTCGCCGCCGAGATACACATTGTCATCCCCTCTAGTAAGGATGAGCGACTTTTCAAGGCTACCCTTGCATCCCTCCCCTTCGGCCCATCCTTGGCTGCTTTCGCCGGCCGCGCCCCGCCCGCAAGGTGTCGGCATGGCCTTCCAGGGCCCTGACATCCCTAGCGTTCGTCCTTTTTCTTCGGGTTGACTGCACACATTCCCGCCGCCTCTCCTTGCCTCATCCCCCGCCCGCCTCCCCCCACCCCCAGAGGGGAGGTGTGGGTGGGGGCGATGGCGCGATTTGTTCCATGCGCTGGCGCCGGACCCGCCAACCATTTCCCTGGGACCTTTGTGTCACCTCGGATCGTTTTTACGTTGGTCCTGGAGCTCCCAGGGGCCCCCAGTGCCCGAATTAGAGGAAAAATGCTGGCAGCGGTTGGGCTGCAATTCCTGGGAGGCTGACTTCGGCATCGGCCCTGGAATCTCTGGTGTCGAGGTCCGACGATGTCTGACGTGAGCCTGCCCAGCTCGTGGCCAGGCCTGCCTCATAGTGGGCCCGCCGAGCCGCCCTCAGCTGTCCCCACGAAGGCCTGCCCAGGAGCTCCCCCTCCCAGCCTCTGGCAGGGCCGCGACGACGGAGCTCCGTGGCCCGGCGGGCCCCGCCAGCCGAGCCTCCGCCCTCGGGCTTCCTTCCTGGCGCGCGGCCCCCCTGAGGGGCGTGGGGGCCCCGGGCCCCAGCGCTTCAGGCCTCCCGAGCAGATGGGGTCGGAGGATCGCGCCGCGTCGCCGATGCATCGACGATGCGGCTCGGTGTGGAGCCCGTGCTTCCCCTCACGTCTCGCTCCCCCCTCACTGCTCGCCCTCCCCCGTTCATCCAGGCCTCCCGGATGGGGTCCGCGCAGATGGGGTCGGAGGTTTGCGCCGCATCGCCGATGCATCGACGACGCGGCTCGATGTGGAGCCCGTGTTTCCCCTCGTGTCTCGCCCCCCCTCATTCCTCGCCCTCCCCCGTTCATCCAGGCCTCCCAGATGGGGTCCGCGCCGACGGGGTCGGAGGTTTGCGCCGCATCGCCGATGCACCGGCGACGCGGCTCGATGTGGAGCCCGTGTTTCCCCCACGCCGCCGTCGCCGGTGCATCGCCGATGCATCGGCGATGCATCGGCGATGCATCGGCGATGCGCCGCGACGCGCAGACAGCGTGCACCATCCAGGAGGCCTCGAAGCACGCAGGCCTCCACCGTCGAGCGGCATGTGGCGGCCCGCAGGCAGCGCTGCACCACTGGCCACCGCTGCCCAGGGCCAGGCCTCCGTCGGCCGCGCGCAGAGGGTGGTGTTCAGGAGAGGAAAAAACACACAGACACAATTAATCGTCGATTCCCAGGAAAATATGGGAAAATATGGGTAGTGGGGGGGAAGACGAAAACCCAGAAAATATGAGAAAATATGGGGAATATGTTTATTTGTGTGTATTTATTTGTGTGTCCCAGTTCCCCTTCATTCTGGGAAGCACCCGTGCTTCTACGCAGGCGCGGGTCTTACCGGTAGATGTGCGTAGGGCCCGCGCCTTCAAGCAGCACCCTCGTTCGAAGAGGCCGTCCCCCCTTCCCCGGTGGCAGTTCGCGGCACCCGGGCGGGCGACAGGAGGGGTATGGCGGTATGATGTAGAGCAGGGGAGAAGGGCAGGAAGGGAGGGCGACCGAGGACGGCTCTGCGGGGACCGCGGCTAGCCAGCCTGGTTTAAGTTTTTAGAGGCAGCCCAGTGGCGAGCATTGCGCGGCGCGGCTGCCACTGCGGGTGCGTGCGGATGGAGAACAGACCTTCGAGATGGCGTGCCAGCGGATCCCCTTGAACAAATAGCCTTCGCCCCTCCCCTTTGCCCCCCTCTGCGCGCCGCCAACTCTGCGTGGAGCCTGTGTCTTTCGTCCGGTCCCGAGTCCAGGTCTCTGGGCACCTGCCCCGCGAGTCGTTGTCATTGCCAGTGCCGCGCCCGCGGAGGGGAGGAGGACGAGGAGGAGGGAGGCGTCCGCCCCTACAGACCCTTGCTCTTCCTCGGATACTGAGGAACCTCCATGGGGGTCCCTTTAGAGTTGATCCCTGGAGCCTCCACAGTGTCTTTGTATTTCTGGGTGATACTTTCTAAGTCCCAGGCTCCTCCCTTTCCTCCTGCCAGAAGGGGTGAGCCATGGCGCACGTCGGCGTCGCCCCAGGTCAAGGGCACGGGCTCGCAGGGGCTCTTCTACGACCGTATCGCCAAGGACAGGGAGATCCTGAAGGCGAGGCCGGGGAGGTGAGAAGTGCGAGGAAGGGAGGAGGGAGGAGGCGGGGGAGGAGGAGGTCGTTGGCATGAAGGCGGGAGGAGGAGGAGGAGGGAGGAGGCGGGGGAGGAGGAGGGAGGAGGGAGGAGGCGGGGGAGGAGGAACAACTGACATGGCTGGAAGGTCGTTTTGGCGGGTTCTGTCTTGGTTCGAGGAGCTATGGGATTCTCGGAGCACCAGAAGCCAGGGAGGAAAACGAGGACGGTCAGGGAAGCGAGGTGGCGGCAGCGCTCGCGCCCCCCCCCCCCTCGATCCGCTTTCTCCTCCTCTCTCCTCGCCCATCTTCCCGCATCGAGGATCATTACTCAAGTGGCTTGTGCCATTCCGCCGACCCCCAAAAGGAGCGAGAGGTTGGGCGATCGTGGAAGTCATCTGGTGGGCCCTTTTGGGAAGGCCCTCTTGGGAAGGCCCTCTTGGGAAGGCCCTTGGGGCGTCTCGAGGGCCTCTCTCCTCCCGCCTCCTCCTCCCGCCTCCTCCTCCTCCCGCCTCCTCCTCCTCCTTCTCCTCCTCCTCCCGCCTCCTCCTCCTCCTCCTCCTCCTCCTCCTCCTCCTCGTCCTCTCGCCTCGCGGATAGCCGCTCTCCTGCTGCCGCCGCCGCTGCTGCTGCTGCTGCTGCTGCTGCTGCTGCGGCTGCTGCTGCTGCTGCTGCTGCTGCTGCGTGTCCCTCTCACGGCCGTGAAGGGTGCGGGCGCCTGCCCGAATCTCCTTACGCCGCCCTCGCAGCCTCCTCTCAGGAGGGACAACAACACAGAGACACAATTAATCGTCGATCCCCCAGACAAGATGGAAAAATATGGGAAGTGGGGGGGAAGACAGAAACCCAGAAAATGTAGGAAAATATTGGGGGATCCTGTTATTAGTGTGTATTTATTTGTGTGTCCTGGGGCCCCTTCATTCTCCTCCTTCCCTCCTGCACCTTGGCCTGGTCGATCTTTCATACGGTGGGGGCGTTGGTTGAGGAATGCGCCCAGGATGCTGCAGGCCCTGGAGGATTCCTCGTTTGGTGAGGGCGGCGGTCCTATCCATGGCCAGGCCTGGATTGGAGCTCCACCGGCCTCCCTTCTCTGAGGGTTCCGTGGCGGTCTCCGGCGATGGCCTCGACGACTCGTGGGCCCGGGGTGCGCTCGGCCGCGCCGCCCAGCACTGCGGCGGCTCCCAGTCGCGGGGCCCCTGCGGGGGGCGAGGCGGCAGAGGCGGCGGTGGGCGCCGCGGCGCCGCGGCGGCGGCGACCGCGGGCCCCCGCCCTGGGCCGACGGGGGCGGCGTCCGAGGGCCCTCCCGGTGCACCCCTGCCGTGGCGGAGGCCGCGAGCGGCGCCGGCGGCGGCGCTCCGCCGCGCGGCGCCCGGCCTCCCGGCGCAGGCGTCCGGCGACGATCCAGGTGCTCCGCGACCTGCGCGGGCGGCCGGCGAAGGGCGCGTGCTGCGCGCAGGGGCTGGGTGAGCAGGGCCGCGCTGCTCTGTGGACCCCAGCCCCGTGGGGGCGGTGAGGCGCGCGGAGGTCATCGCGGCCCCCTGGGGTGGTCCTGGGCTGCGCCGCGTGCGCTGTGCTGGCGCTGTGAGGTCGGCGCTGCGTGTTGAAGACGTTGTTCGCACGGATCTCGGCCTTCGAAGAGTTTGTACACATGCCCCCATCGTACCCTTCGCTGCGAGCTGATCGAGGATCCTCGTCAGCTCGGTAAGTACAACTTCCCACTGCCAAGCCGCCGCGCGGCTCTCGCGCGCTCGCACGAGGCACTGGCCCGCGGCCCGCCGACGGGCGTGCGCTCCTTTCCCCCCCATTATTCTTTCTCTCCTCTCCTCGCCGCCAGCGGCCTCTGGCTCGGCGGCGTGGTCAGCAGCGTCGGGCGAGGGAGGAGGAGGAGGAGGAGGAGGAGGAGGAGGAGGAGGAGGAGGAGGAGGAGGAGGAGGAGGAGGAGGAGGAGGAGGAGGAGGAGGAGGAGGAGGAGGAGGGAGGAGGGCAGCATCACCGCCACAGGAGGAGGCGGGGCGCGGGCCCGTGCCCGCGGGGCAGCCGCCAGGGGAGCGGAGCGGGGAGGCCCACGCGGCGCGGGGCGACCGCCCGCACCCGCCGCACGCGCGGGGGGCGCCTCGCCCGCGGCGGCGGCCGCGTCTCCGTGGCGGCTCGAGAGGTCTCGAGGTTTTTTTTTCTTGCTCCCGTGCTCTTCACCCTTCGGAGCCCGGCCTGGCGCCCTTACGGTCGCCGTATTCTAGCAGGAGGGTAGGCATCTGCCCACCCTCCCGCGATCCCCCATCATGTGCTGCAGCTATCGGTTCGACTGCTGCCGCTGCACCGCTTGCGCTTCCCCTTCCCCGTCCGCTACGGGCACCTTCTCCGCGCCAGTCTTCCAAGCGGTCCTTCTTCCAGACAAGCCATGGTGTCATAAAGCGAGTCGAGTCGAGTCGAGCCCTTCTCCTGGACCTCGCTCGCATCATCCCTTCCTATCCCCCCCGTTCCCCCCCCCTCATCTCTCTGTGTCACAGGGCCGTTGCGAGCGCATGCGCGAGGCTGTCTTGGGGGCACCCAGGCTTTCTGTTGAAACACTGGCGGGCTCGGTTCAGGCATCACGAGTGGTGATGCCTTTGGATGTCCATCAGGCCCTTTTTGGGGAGATGTTGGGACGACATTGGCCACGCCCACCAAAGCCCATGGGGACGGCATCGGAGCTGTTGTAGCTTGTAGGGGATAATGTGGACACCTTAAGGCTTTGAGAAAGCGTCTTGAGGCCTCGGGGGTGACCAACTTGGGGCCACCTGAGTAACAATCGATGTCATGCTGGTGACCCTGACCGTCTTGCCTGGGCCACATAGGTACCACATAGGTGCCTGATGGGGGAAGCTCATCGTGCAACAGCTATCATATGTTCAATGTTGTTGGCACTCACGGGAGGCCCGCTCGGACAGTATTTGGGCTCTTTCGGGCTCTACTGGGCCGTGCCAGTCTACTGTAAGTCTCTTCGGGCTCTCCTGGAGAGAGCACAAGAGAGACCACAAGAGCCATCAGCAAGGCAATCGTCCAGCCATGCCAGGGCAGCCAGGTGCTTCAGGGGGACCGGCGGGTCTTTCAAGAACGCTGTTTCCGTTGCGCCCCCCCCCGGCCAGAGGTCGTCCTGCTGCTCACAGGCAGCATCCAGTCCGCGAAGAGCCAGTGCAGCCAATACCTCGAGAAGTTCTCGGAGTACCAGTGGTGCTGGAGCTCCAACATCCAGGACCCCGCCCGTGCACGTCGCGCAGTCGTTGCGCGTCCGTCTGCGCAAAACTCGCAGGGGTGGGCTTGAGGCGGCGGGTCCCCTTGCTGCCACTTGAAGGAGAGGGATGCTCTCGCGCAGCGACGCTCGACACGATGCGGCGTAGAAGAGGTCTGGGAGTCTGGGGGTGGGGTGAGCGGGTGGAGGAGGAGGAGCGGGTGGAGGAGGAGGAGCGGGTGGAGGAGGAGAAGGAGGAGGAGGAGGAGGAGGAGGAGGGGTTGAAAGGAGCGCCTGCAGCTCCATGCTCCCTTTGGGTTTCGGGCGTGTCGTGCCCACCCCCGTTTGAGTCAGCCCGCATAACAAGGATGGGCAACCTTCCCAAGGGTACCCTCAGCATCCTTGCCCCTTCGGCCCATCCTTGGCCAATTTCGCTGGCCAGCCTCGTTCGAAAAACGTTTACACGGGCCTCCAAGGCACTTGCGTCTTTACCGCGCATCCTTATGATACGCGTGTTGGCTGTAGTCTTGTAAGCACGGACGGTTGTGGCCTCGAAGGCGCGTGCCCGTTGCACCCGCACGTGCCCGGGGGCACCTGGGAAGTCCGAGGACGTGCTCCGGGGGTGGTCAAAGGTTGCCCTCGGACCGAGGGAGGTCGCGCGCTTTCTCTCGGATGTTCTTGACGCTTCGCTTAACCTCACCAGCCCATCCAGAAAAATGCCCTGGCGCGTTGCCCCGATCAGGATTGCGGAGGAGCATGCAGTGGAACAGCGGGCTGGGGAAGCCGCCGTACCTCAAGAGGCGGAGGATGGAGGAGGAATCGGAGGAGGAGGAGGAGGAGGAGGAGGAGGAGGAGGAGGAGGAGGAGGAGGAGGAGGAGGAGGGGAAGGGGGAGGAGTGAGGAGGGAGGGGGAGGAACAGGCGGATGAGGATAAGGAGCAGGAGGAGGAGGAGGAGGAGGAGGAGGAGGAGGAAGAGGAATAGGAGGAGGGCGAGCAGAAAGGCCAGAGTCTTCTTGGATGTCTCTCGGAGTCTCGTCGGATGTGTCTTGAGAGTTTCTTTGGGTCCTATTGGGGCATCTTGGGATTGTCTTGGTGGTCCTTCGAGCCTCTTGAAGCATCGTGGATGCCTCGGGGGAGCAGCTTGAGGCGTCTTGGGGCTCTCTTGGGAGCCTCTTGAGGACCTCTTGAGGGCCTCTTGAGGGACTCTTGGGGCTTTTTGGGCGCCGCTTGGGGCCGACTTGGGGCACCGTTGAGAGCCTCGGGGGTAATCTTGGAAGAGATCGATGAAAGGAGGGGGTACTTAATTAGGGTCCGCCCCTCAGGAGGCCAACATTGGCCCAACCTACTGAACATTAATGATTATTGCCTTCTCGCCGAGGCCGTCTTGGACGCTCCGTCGCGTTGCGGGGCGCCCCGTCCAGGCCAGGGGAGAGGGTAGGGGGAGGGGTCAAGACTCCCTCCCCGCCCGCAAGCCGTCTCGCTCACTCCCACCCGCCCTCCCAACACATACGTAGCACCCGAGCCTGGCCCGAGCCGCAGCATATTCAGCAGTCGTCTTTGGATGGGCAGCTACTAGGGGCGAATCCGCCGCCGCCACCGCCTCCGCCGCCGCCGCCGCCCGCCGCCGCCGCCGCGCCGCCGCCGCCGCCGCCGCCGCCGTCCGCCGCCGCCGCCGCCGCCGCGCCGGCCGCCGCCGCCGTCCGCCTCCGCCGCCGCGCCGCCCGCCGCCACCGCCGCCGCCGTCGCCCCCGCTGCCGAATCGCCGCCGCCGCAGCGCTGCCGCCGCAGCCGCTGCCGCTGCCGTCACGCTACCGCCGCCGCCGCCACCGCCGCCGCCGCCGCCGCCGCCGGGCCCCCGCCGCCGCCGCCGCCACAGCCGCCGCCACCGCCGCAGCCGCCGCAGCCGCTGCCCCCGCCGCAGCCGCCGCAGCCGCCGCCGACGCCAAGTGTACTCTGTATTGTTTTTTGTTAGGGATGGTGGGGGGAGGCCGCATCGGGTTCGCTGCGCATGCTCCGAATTTGGAGGCAGAGTGTGTTTTGTATTGTTTTTTACAAGGGATGGTGGGGGGGGGGGGGGCCCGCATTGACCCTGGTTGGCTCCCAGTCGCCTGGGGGAGGGGGTGTATATTAACAGGGAACAGTGATAAGCCCCGAAGGGAAAAACTGGGGGTTGAACAGGACACGTACTAAACCACTCACGCCCTAAAGGGCTGGTGGGACTTGGAACCTCGCCTCCTGACAACCCGGTTCACGTCCCGAGTCACCGCGGCGCTTGTTCAGCAAAGGAGCTACAGTCAAGTCGCACAGTAAGGATGATTAATTTTCAAAGGTTGTCTTTGAATCCTGGCCCCGTCTGCCTATTCTTGGCAACTTTCGCTGGCCAGCCCTGGCCGAAAACGCCAACATGGCCCTCCAAGGCCCTCGCATCCTTACCGCACATCCTCACTATGCGACGTGATTGGATCAGTTCTGGGCTCTACGGCCCGGGGAGGCCTGAAATTGTCCGTTGCCACGCTGCTGAGCTCCAGGGGACATTGCAGTGTTGCGAGCTGCCGCATGGCCTTAGCAAGAGCTGCGCCGCTCAAGTTGCTGGAGCCCGAGCCTCGCGGCCGGGTGTCCCCCACAAGGGTGCTCCGTTGGTCAAGCAGTGGCGAAGCGTCTTGGCTCGCCTATAGGCCGACCAAATAATGTTATGCGAGCGTTGTGTGCTTTCAACGAAATCTTATTAGAACATGTCTGATTTGGACTGTCTTGTTTAGACACATTGGGCTCAGGGTTTCAGAACATTGGTTTCGCTCTTATAACATTTTTGGGGTTCATTTCGTGGTAGTCATATAGGAGTGTCGGGGCGGTCGGTCCCTGCTCAAGTCGGATGTGGTTAGGATTGGTGTTGCAGGAGTTGACATGTCACGTCTGGTATGGTCCGTGTTGTCCGTGTATGTCCCCCGCGTACTACCGGCCGTCGGCCGTGCTTGCTCTGCACTGTTTGCTGCTGCTGCTCCTTTCCTTCCCCTGCTGCTTTCTTTCTTCCGAAGCCACAGGGTGAGTTTCTTGAGCTTGTCAAACACGTTGCAGGTCATGCTGTTGCTTGTCGGCTGTTTCGGTGGCGTTTAGTCTGCCATTACTGTGCTTACTCTGTCGTGTCTGGTCCATCGTGTCTGGGTGCCCGTACCATGTGTGCCATCGTCGTCTTGTTTGATTACTACAATTTTGTCTGGAGTCCGTTTTGGCCCGTCGGTTCTTTGTGTGGGTCCTTGAGTATGTCTGTAGTATGCTGCGGAAGTCCAGAGGTTTCTTTCTGCTGTTCTGTGTGACTGTGCTTGTGCCTGTTCGTGTTCTCAGCGTCTGCTCTCTGGTTCTGTCGTCATTCGTGGATGGCGCGGGGCGGGATGCCCAGGGATTCTCGGGGACACCTGGGGACTGGCCGCTGCCAGGGTGCATGGGGACCATTCTGCCGTCCTTCGCCGCAGTCGTCGGGGGCGCGAGGCGTGCTGCCGTGGATTCTTGGCGATTTTTGGGGCCCGGCGGCCGCGGTATGCAGGTCGGGGCGGGTTCTGGGTGCGATTTTTGCCGTCGAACTCTTGCCATCCCCATCGAGCGCGTGCTCCGTCCTCTTCCGGCCCTCGCCCGCCGCCGCCGCTGCTGGCTGGGGGGGGGAGTCCGCGGAGCACCCTGCCAGCCACAGTGTGGCCGAAGCGGGGAGGAGGAGGAGGAGGAGGAGGAGGAGGAGGAGGAGGAGGACCCAACGCTGGTGTACAGTGCGCAGCGTGCTGCTAGCACGGCCCTGCGTGGGGCCTCTGAGGCGGATGGCTGCGCAGGGAGGGAGGTGCTGATGCTCACGTACAGTCGGCCCGGATTAGTAGGTCGACCCTGCCAAGTCAAGGGTACCCTTGTGTCCCGTGCCTCGCGGCCCATGCTCTCACATTCCTATGGCAATGTGGCCCCGGAAGGGTCTCGCGTCCTCTCGTGTGTCCTCTCCAATCAAGTCCGACTGTAGTTGCGCAGTCTATCTTGCCAGGATGACTACAGGAAGTTCAAGGACTCGGGGCCCAGCCTGGACGAGTTCGAGGCGAAGCTGCGCTACTTCGTGCAGGTGGAGGAGCAGGCCACGGCAGGGGAGGGGGCGCTGCCGCCCTCGGGAACGCGCTGGCGGAGAGTCGATGGTTCAAAGACGGGGTCCTGAGGGATGGGATCCTATGGACGAGGTGCCTCAAACAGTGTAAATCCACCCTTGGACCCCTTCCTATCCTTAGGACCCCATCTCTCGGGACCCCATCTTTGAACCACCGAGGGGGGCCGGGTGCACATGACGCTGGTTGTGGTCGTTTACACGTAATAGTGACCCTTCGCCGGAGTGACCTCTGATGCGGGCCCGCTGGGTACCCTCCGATCGCCGAGCACGATGCGATATGAGCGGCCTGCGCGCCTGTGCTTGGGCCCCCCCGCGGCCCCCGAGCAGCCGCGTACCAAAGGTCACTCTTACCCAGGGCCACTCTTACGTGTAACCGAGGACGTTGGCATGGGGAACAACTTGGTGCACGTTGGCATGGGGAACAACTCGGGCCGCGCCAGCCATCTGAGCCTAGCGACCACACTGCATCTCAACAACGAATAGGAAAACACATGATCCAGTCACGCAAACACGCGGCACGTTGGCATGGGGAACAGCTTGAGCCGCGCTTGCCCTCCCAGCCTAACGAGCAAACTATACCTGAACAACAAAACACGAACGGAAACGATCAAATCATGCAAAATCTTCAAACCACCGGCAAGCACAAGCAATGCAATACCTACACGCAAGACAGACACTACACGGTTCCGCCCCAGCGTTTCGGACACCGCCTGCTTCTCGGACTCGGTGCTGTACAAGACGGCCTCGAACCATGACCCCCCACGTGCGCAAGGGTCTCCGTGCGCGGCGCAGTCGTAGGCCCTCGCGTCTGCACATATCTCGGCTCACCCAGACCCATGATGATGCAATGTTCATCTTAAGTCGGGCATGTCCTTCCACAGGAATAATCTTCGAGAATGGTGAACAAATGATATGGAGACGATGTTCCGTGCTCGTTTGGCTATTTTTGAGCATTTGTTCGTTAGTTGTAATCTGTTCTCCCAAAACCGCCTGTAGGAGGACATGCGCGACCTATATCAGAAGTTTGTCTTGGAAAATCGGCACGGCCAGGGCCGTGACGTTCTCGAGGGTAACCAGTTTGCTACGGGCCCACTTGAGGCTGTCGAGGGCCTACCCGAACGTCTCTGCTGTAGTCCCAGCCCCGCGCCGAAGGGAGGTCCCGAGCTACGAGCGGTCCTCGTTGAGGGGAAAGCGGTCTACGTGGACGAAGACAAAGAACGCGATGCCCACTGCAGGCGCCATCTCCCACTGACCAGAGATATGATTGAATGCCCGGGAGCCAACGAGCTCGGCCATGTTCCTCAACACGAGGGGGTAGTCTGGGTGATTATGTTGCAGCCACAGAGCTTTCTGCGGATCCATCTCGCAGTAGAGAACCAGCTCAAAGTTGATCCGCTGGCCGCTGAAGAATTCATCCCAGTAGTCGACCAAACAATTGATAACGAACCAAGCCATTTGGAAGCCAGAGAAACCTGTCCCGCTGCGCACGCGCGGCGTTGCGGCGAGGGCGGCGACGGTGCGTTTCAGCTTCGACATGTGGCCAGGTGCAAGCTGAGCGTGCCCGTGCGCGATGGTTGTCAGCCTAGGTCGCTCGAACTGTCAGCGGGCGGGGCTCGGACGAGGGTAAGTCCGTTCCAGAGCGTGTTGGAACGCTCTCAGAGCGTTCCAGAACGCTTTCAGAGCGTTCCGGAACGCTCTGAGAAGGCCGCGGTGCCCCAGACATCTTCCAGAGCCGCCTGATCTCAGAGATTCTCGATTTATCCTCATCCGAATTTGACCTCGTCCTGGCTTTGTCTTCATGGCGACCAGCACATGTCACTCGAAGTGTCACGTCAGCCCTATTGCATTACCGCCGGTACCGTCGCCGCCAATCGCCACCATTGCCGCCACCATCAGCACAATCACCACCACCGACACGTGGACATTACCACAGTCACCGTGGTCACCAGCATCGGCATTGGCCTTGCCGTCGTCATTGTCATCACCGCTACCACCATCGCTAGTATCATCATCATTGCCGCCGTTGCCGATGTCATCATGATCTCGCGCCCGCCCGGGTCACCGACCCGCACAGAAATGCCCGCGCGCCAGTGCGGCTTCTGAGACGTGCTGGGGAAGTTCGCCAGTACGTGCCGTCGCGGCCGCATCGGTTGTGCCCAGCCAGTTGGTCGATTTGCGCGCCGCGTGCCAGCGCGGTCATAGGGATGCGTTCGGAGATCGAACCCATAGCCGCAATCGTGGCCGAATGGGCAGCAGCGCGGTTGGAACCAGGCAGGGGTCGTGTTCCCTGTTCGGGGTTCCTTGTTTGTGGTAGCACGACTTTGCCCGTGGGAGGTCGTCAGTTCCCCAATAAGGGGGTCGGCGTGCGACGACTTCAAGGCCATATGGGGCAGATTCACTTCTCTTGGGCACCTGGGCTCAGCGTCCAGCCCTGTTGCCGGCAGGCATTCCGCCGCGGCGATCTCGCCAGCAACGACTGCCTGCTTGTTCGCCGACGGAGCTGCGACGTTGGGGATAGATTGCCCACGCTTTCCTCGCGAGCTGAAGGGTCATCCACGGCGGAGGATGTCGGGGACAAAGTCCAGGCCCGGCATGCGTTGGCGTTGACGACCGCGCAGGTGTTGCGTCGCCAAATGTGTCTTGGCCCACGGTGCCCCAAGGGCCCCACGAGCAACCAGAATGGCGCGAAAAACGGGGGACACCTTCGGGCCAGACCCAAGGAGTTCCACGGGGCCAGAAAGACGACGAAGGAACCGAGCGTCGTCGTCGTCGTGCCACCATGAGTCGCGAAGGAGGGCCAGGAGCCATCTTGCCCGCGAGAGCCCAGGTCGACAGGATTGGCGGGCAGAGCCAGATCTCCGCCCTGATGCTGCTGACGGGCAACCTCTCACGGAGACGACGGCCGTGCGTGTTGGGGTCGATGGGCAAACGGGGGTCAGTCAGAGCGCCGGGTCTTGCAGGATCCTGCACAGCCAAGGGTGCATTGACCCGGGCTTGAGCGCAGGATCTGGCAGAATCTTGCAGGACCCTGCGAGGCCTGGGTCTGGACTGACCCAGGTCAGTAGATCCCCGAGCGTGGTTCGTCCGTTGGCCAGGGGCAGACGGTGCGGAGGACGAGGAGCAGGAGGAGGCGGAGGAGGAGGAGGAGGAGGAGAAGGAGGAGGAGAGGGCGGGGCAGCAAGACGACGACGGCTTCGACGGCGATGCCTCGGAGGAGAAGCAGCTGCATAGGCCTCCACTTTCGGAGCCCCGCGCGGATGTCTCGTGTCGGCGCTGGGCCCCCCCTGGCGGCGCCTCCGAAGTCGCCTCTGGCGCGCTCCGAGCGCCGGGGAGGAGGGGAGGCCAGCGCCGATCCCAGGAATCCGAGCGGACCCCGAAAGGCATTGAGAACAAAAGAACCCTTGACCTTCAATAACAAGACGAAGGCGTGGCCTCACTGAGGTCCCCGTCTTCACATTCGGGATGGTAAATCTGGGCGGTTTGGCCTGGCACATCTGCAGACAAGACCCTCTAACCCTAATGTTTCTGGCCCTCCGAACATCTGTCCCCTCCCAAAGGGTTAGGGGTCCTTTTTTGTTCAATCAGAAAGGTTATGCTTAGGCAGCTGTTTTTTCTTCTGTTGCCACTGAAGACGAGGGCGACGAGGGATAAGCGAGAGCAGTAGGAGGAAGCGGAGGATGTGTGGTGATCATGGTGAGGGCGGTGGGTGTGTCTATGGGACGGCTACGATGGCGAAGACGATGACGGTAACGATGTTGTGATGAGGATGGTGAAGACCATCAGGATGGTGGTGTTGCCGGTCAACAGTTCCAGAGATGTTGAGACGAGTCGGTTCCTGAGCCAACAAAGGGCTCAGAAGCTTGAAAGGGATACATGAGGCCTCCCGTGTGAGAGCCTTGGTGATTCAGCTGAAGTGTCTGGCAGCCGCGCGTGTAGCTAATCACGAAGGACAGGTGATTTCCAGTTGTTCAGCCATTTTCGGCCTCTCGCAGCCCTTCCTGGACCCCTGGGCCATGCTAAAATATTGAACGCAAGGCCAGTCGCAGGGACAGGCACGGTGTCCAAGACCCGTTGCTAATGTATCAGAATGAGGCGGCCGAACGGTCAGTCACTGTTCGTGGGCGTGTGGCTGAAGTGGGGTTCCTCAGTATGGATTATTGTTGCGTCGTTGTCGTCGTCGTCCTCGCCCGCGACTCTCTCGTGACCCCCCCGCGACCCACCTCGCGACACTCCCCCGACACCCCCGCGACCCACCCCACGACCCACCCCGCCGACCCACCCCGCGGCACACCCCACGACCCACCCCGCGACCCAGTCCGCAACTGCGGGGTGCCACGCAGCACTTTAAGTCCGACGACTGGTCCGCGTCTCTCCTCCACCTCCGTTGTTCGAGTAGTAAGTCCATTACAACATCACTTTACCCCAACCTTTTGTTTGTCGCCGAGCCTACAAACAACGCGTCGAGTCTCGACGAACAGCGACAACAGCAACAACAATTATTTTGCGACTATTCGCTCTTATTGGCACGCGTGTTTAGCATTCTGCATGCCCCAACCCTCGATACCCGCCCACTTCGTCTTCGATCGCACCCCCTTTCGGGGGGAATGTGTTCTTTGTCGGCCACTGACTGCAGTGCAAGGAACGCTGGAGCGAGAGCGCCGTTGCTGAGTTCGGGGGCCTTTCTGGCCAGGCCAGGGGCTCTCGGAATACATCTAAAGAAACATCGAACGGGAACCCTTGTCGCCGTGTCTGGGCCTCCACCAACTTGTTTGAATTACGAGAAAATATCGAGCGAGAGTGCCACTCTTGAGTTCCAGGGCCTCTCTGACAAGGGCCTCTTCGAATCCATCTTGAGGAAGCATCGAGCGAGAGCCCTTGTCGTCGTAGTTGGGCCTCCGCCACTTTGACTGAATCACGAGGAAGTCTCGAGCGAGAGCGCCGTTCCTGAGTTCGGGGGCCTTCCTGGCCAGGGGCTCTCGGAGTAAATCGTGCGGAAGTATCGGGCAGGAGCCCTTGTCGTCGTGGCTGGGCCTCCGCCAACTTGCCTGAATTGCGAGGAACGCTGGAGCGAGGGCGCCGTTCCTGAGTTCGGGGGCCTCTCTGGCCAGGCTGTCTCGGGGTAAATGGTGAGGAAGTATTGAGCGGGAGCCGTTGTCGTCGTAGCCGGGCCTCCAAGGGCACACTTTTACGTTCAAGCCAACGCTCGCGCAGGAGCCTCGTTGTCAGAGAAAACGTAGCCGGCGTCGAGGCGAGAGCACGCGGAACCGTTTCGGGAGATCAGACGTTATTCCTTCGGAGTGAGTACCCAACAACGGCAACAACCACAACAAAAACAAAAACAAAAACAAAAACAAACACCACCACCAGCAACAGCAACAGCAGGTCTGGGGCCAACCAGTTATGTAGCCGATCTCCTTCTCGAGCTGTGCAACAATTCTCCCCCAGCCGCCGCGGGAGCGCCGTTTAGGCCCCCCCCCCGCGCGTGTCCGTGCACGCCAACGGGCCGACGCCCGCGGGGCCAGGGCGCCCGCGCCTGCGCCCCCGCGCGGCGGACGGGCGGCTACTGGCGCGCCGGGCAGGCCCGCGCACAGCTAGGGGGAGAAAAAGATACGGATACGTGTTGTCCACCTTCGTTTTCGGCCTTTCCTGGTCCTCCTGGGGAATCCTCGTTGTCACCGCTGGATTCGCCTCGAAATTCTGGTCAGAACGCACCCCAAGAGAGGTCCGGGGACAACACGTATCCGTATCCTTCCGCCCCCCAGCAGCTAGGGGGGCCACATGCGGACCCTAGCCCTACCCCCCACGATTTCTGAGGGGGAGGCGAAGTGAACCCCACCCTCCCCCCGAGAAATCGGGGGGGGTAGGGCTAGGGTTCGCGCGCGGCCTCCCGATAGCCTCAGGTCAGAGGAGGAACAGGGTACACCTTAGGCGATGCTTAAGAAAACCTAAGTTTTCGTCCCGAGTCTCGATTATTCTTAACTCTTCAATACAAATCCCAATATTTTGATAGAAGTTCTGCGTTTTTATGGGATTTCTGAGACTATGAATTTCTTAACCCATGATTTCTTAAGCATTTCGCAGGGTGTACCCCCTAGGCCTCCTTGGCGAGGTCCGAGCAGCTGGGGTCGGAGGACCGCGGGGCATCGCCGCTGCATCGCCGCTGCATCGGCGATGCGGCTCGATGCGGAGTCCAATGTTCCCCACGCCAGCGATGCCGATGCATTGCCGATTCACCGCCGATGCATCGCCGATGCGGCGCGATCCTCCGACCCAATCCACTCCGACCCCACCAAGGAGGCTTCTGTACCAATACCTCGAATGCACATACCTCGAGGAGGAAGTCGACTGCGGAACCGATGTGCCTCAGAATCGTCGTTGGTTTGTCGAGACTACAACGAATACGTAGAGGCTTCGTAGGTCTACGAAAGTTCTATGCGTTTATGGTGGGTTCGACGAAACATCAATTCTGGGGTGAAGCAATTCGTTAGTCGATTTCCAATCGGATGCCGCTATCCTGCCCGTATTTGCCTTTTTCGGGCCTCCTGGGAGGCCCTCATAATCCCTGTTTGATTCGCTTCCCTGGAGAGGTCAGGGGAATATCGGCATCGGTACTTCTTGGTTTCCCCATTCAGCGTTTGGATGACGTTAAAGACTTGCGTGCATTTCGTTGTCCCGTGTTCAAGGTCGTTTCCGTGTCTGTGTTGTCGTCCGTGCTGTTCTGTTATGTCGCGTGTTGTGTTGCCGTTCTGTGTTGTGTCGAGTTGTTGTCTGTTGTTCCGGCTTGGTTGGCCGAAAACTGAAAAGGTGAAAACAGCAGCAAAACCACGCCCCCAGCGTTTTCTCAACATCACCGGAGTTTCAGGGTGTAGATGCCGCGTCGGGCCTGCAGTTGTGCCTTCGTGAGACAGGGAAGCCCTAGTCTCGGCCCAACCCAGTCCAGGAGCCTCAAAGAGCTCGCGGTCAAGTGGAAGGAGTCCTACGCGGGCCAGCTTCACAAGGAGGCGCCGTTGGGGGGTGCGGCGTGCGGCAGGTGGTGGAGGGGCGGCTGGGGTCCGCGCAGGTGCGTCGTCCCTTCCCTCCCCGTCCCTCCCCACCCCTCCCAGAGCTCAGTCCTCCCCCTCCTCCGTTCCCCCCGCCTGCGTCCTCGAGGATGGAGCTGTGGGGAATGCCCGAGGGGGCTCGTGGGGCGGCCTGCTGGAAGGCCGTCGTCGCCGCGGTTGTGGGTCCCTGCCGAAGTCCTGATCCGAGCGCATGTCAGACTGAGCTCAGGGGCTTCCTCCTCCTCCTCCTCCTCCTCCTCCTCCTCCTCCTCCTCCTCCTCCTCCTCCTCCTCCTCCTCCTCCTCCTCCTCCTCCTCCTCCTCCTCCTCCTCCTCCTGCGACCCTGACCGCGTCGCCAGGAAGCAGCAGCGACCAGGCACATGTGCTGGTACGGTCAGCGTCCTCGCATTCCTTCTGCGGACCCCAGGGCCGTCACGCGAGGATCGGCTGCCGCAATGTCTGGTTTCCCGTCGGTCGTTGAAAGTAGGTACTTTGGGATTCCCAGATTCCAACCTACTTTAAGCGCCTTCCTACTTCAGTGATCGAGTGGCTTCACCTTTTCCGCCCTCTTCAGGGGGCGGGCGGACACCCAAACTATTTTCAACGCCTTCCTATTTCATGTGTTTACCTACTTCTTCCGACCGATGGGTACGTCAGGGCGTGGTTCGCGGTCGGCGCAGTTGGGTGTTAGGCGTCACCACGTTGCGCCACAGGTTTGATGTGAGCCCTCGCGGGGGCGCCGCGGACCGCGGAGGTCCCTGTCGAGGACCTCGCCCGCCCCATCCAGGCGCGGCTTGCAAACTGCACCCCTTGCAAACCACACGAAGGCCCCTTCTTACGGATAAATAAGCCTGCCCCCCGACGGACTAAGAAATCCTGCTGTAAGACATCTTGGGGCACATTCGCCTCCAGAATGGCAAACCAGCGCTCTCTCAGGATGCCGTCCGTGAGAGGTCCCTCCCACGGGGCAGCCGCAAGCAAGGAGGAGGAGGAGGAGGAGGAGGAGGAGGAGGAGGAGGAGGCGCAGGAGGCGGAGGAGGCGGAGGAGGCGGAGGAGGAGGAGGCGGAGGAGGCGGAGGAGGCGAAGGAGGCGGAGGAGGCGGAGGGGGCGGGGGAGGAGGGGGAGGAGGTGGAGGCGAAGGGGTCGGAGGAGGAGGAGGAGGAGGAGGAGGAGGAGGAGGAGGAGGAGGAGAAGGAGGAGGAGGAGAGGGAGGGGAGGAGGAGGAGGGGAGGAGGCGAAGGAGGGGGAGAGGATTCCCTCAGGGGACGCACGGGGATGCCATGGGCACGCCTGCGGCTGGCGTGGGAAAGGCAGCGTGCGACGTGGCGCCGCCGGCCCGCCTACTGAACGTTATCCCGGAGGCGGACAGACCTCCTACCTCCTCCTCCTCCTCCTCCTCCTCCCTCCTCCTCCTCCTGCCCCCCTCCTCCTCCTCCTCCTCCTCCTCCTCCTCCTCCTCCTCCTCCTCCTCCTCCTCCTCCTCCTCCCCCTCCTCCTCCCCCCAAGCGGAGCGCCACCCAGAAGGCCCCAGTGGCTTTGAGGTGGACAGACCTCCTACCCTGACACGTCGATTAAGGAATTTGCCGTTTTCGGTTCGCGAGAGGCGTCGCGGCCGTCATTGTTGCGGGTCCAGGTCCGTCGGTTTCGGTCCCAGGCCGTTTTCACTGAGGGGAGGTTTACTAAAGGGAGGCTTGTCCACCGCCGAGTATCCCCCAGACTTGGTGATAACGTGCACCGTGCACGGACGAGGCCCTCGCATAGCGTGCGCAGAGGAGGCCCTCGAGGGGGGTCGCCGCAGGGAGAGCTTGCTTTTCGAAGATCGATGTTCCACGCAAGCTTTTGCAACGCCGGCTGTGCACACCGATCTTGGCAATGCCAGTTCATGATCCAAGGATCTGTGCTTGTGCAATCCTGGACAAGACGCGACGGTGTAACACACCAGTCCTGAGCCCAGGACGGGCCAAGCCAGGATCGACAGGGTCGGTGCAGGATGCACTGCTGGTGTCCAATTCCGGCCCAGGCTTTGCTCCCCTTGCCTGGCCAGACCTCCGGCGACTCGTTCTTTTCCGAGCCGCAAGCCTGGACTTCTCCGACCCCTTCCCAGAGGCCAGCTTCTCGTCCTGAGCAGTCTCTTGACGGTCCAGCGCAAATTTTCCGAGTCGCCGCAGTAGGTGCTCTCAAAAGCCTTGGCTCGCATCCCCAGCCCCTAGCCCCCTCTCCTTTTCACTTTGCCTCGCCCCGCCCTCCCCCCTCCCTCCCTCATCTCCGCCTTCTCTCCCCTCCTTCCCTCCCTCACCGCTCGTTTGCCCATCCCCACCCCCTCCCCTTCCCCTCCCCCCCACCTCGCTTCTATCCGTCCCCGCTTCGTTTTCTTAGCTACTTCTCCCCCATACTCCTATTGCGCTTCGCCCTTCTCTCCTTCCCCGACCCCGTCTCTGCCGGACCCTCCTCATTGATAGTTCTTCGTCGTCGCACCACCAGACGTGACGCAAAGGTGGGGTGGGGCCCGGCGTTTTACTTGGTATTGCGTCGCCAACTATGCGGCTGAAATTGTTTCAAAGCGTTAGCGTCATGTGCATTCGTTTGAACAGGCTTGCAGCATTGACGGACGGATCGCAGGTTCTATGTTGTCATCTTTCCAGCGCCGCGCACATTCGTCCTAGCTTGTATCAGCCACATGTGTGCCTCGTCATACATGTCTGCTACAAGTGGCTGATACAAGCTAGGACGCATGTGCATCCGGTTTGCTGATGTCTGACGTGTGCTCAAGGCGGGTCGTTTTGAGCATGTCTAACTCGTCACAGCGCCGCGATGCGTTTGTGTCAGCCCCCTCCAGCAGTTACACATGGCGGGCCGCTCTCAAAACTACTGTCCCGATTCAGGCACCGCCGTTGTGGAAATGGTTGAACTGGGCGCCGACTACACGGGCGAATGGTGCCCCATTTCAAAGTGGAGTGCTCGCTTGGAAATTCCTCCAACGGTTTGGCGAGAACGGTGTGCACCGAGTGCACGCGTGGAGTGTGATCAGCGATTTTTGTTTACAGTGGACTCGCTCGACTCTCGTTTGAGCGTGGGGCTCCTACCTCGCGGCAGCTCTTGTGCGCAGGTGGAGGGATGGAGGCTTTTTTCCCTGATATGGGGGTCTGGCCAGAATGGCAGGCCCCCGGGCCGCTCGTCGTGCCAGGGGGTGCTCCTTGTTGTGGTGCGCAGGAATTCTAATAGAGGCTCTCGTTGGAGTGGACGCTGGCCAGAGGGGCGCATTGCAGCATTGTTGATGCATCCTGGGCCTACTCTGGTCCGCCCCTCTTCCGCCCCCGTCATCCCAGCCTTCTTTCTTCCACCTCTTCCTCCCCTCCTCCCCTTCAACGTCCTAGCTTGCCGTGCAGCATTCCGACGAATGTGGCACGCGGCATCCTTTTCCTGAAGGTACAGCGGAAGCGTTCTTCCGACCTCTGTACACGCTCGGTGCTAGAATACAGTCAGGTCGTTGCGGAAGGAACCCTTTTCGTTGGGGAGGGGCTCCGCGTTCCTTAAGTGTTTGACAGCTTGCCTCAGGTGTTCCTCGTGTTTTCGATGGGGAGTCGAAGTTTAATTTATGGAAAAAAGGGGCCTCGTTCCCTATTTAGGGTTCCTTAGGGCAACGCCCCGACTGTATCCCATGCACCACGGGGGCCTGCCTCTGCCCGCCCCAGCGCTGCAGCGCTGGAGCGCTTCGCCCCGGGTCTGTGCAGCGGACACGGACCCCGGCGCGTGCAGCCTGCGACGGAGCGGCAGATTGATAGGGGGCCACACGCGAACCCTCCCCCTCAAAAATCGCAGGGGGGTAGGGGGTAGGGTTCGCGCGTGGCCCCCGAATTGACGCACCGCAGCCCGGGAGCCGCGCCCTGCGCCCCTCGAGGGGCCCGCCCTTCGTCGAGGAGAGGAGGCGCCCCCGAACGCCCCCAGGCGTTCTCGAAGCTGGAGGGCGTCAGCGAGATCGTCAAGTCCACCCGCAAGCGGCTGCTGCGCGAGGCGGCGCGCGCGGGGGGCCTCTCGGGCAGGAGGCCCGCGAGCCCCGTCACTCGGCGGCCTGCCTCCGAGGGGGGTTCGGGGCCCGGGGGGGAAGGCTGCTCAGAAGGATTGCAAAACAAAAACAAAACAAACAAAACAAACAAAACAAACAACAAAAACAAAACATACAAAAAACAACAAACAAAAAAACCTTCGGTTTTTTGTTGCAATCCTTCGGTTTTTTTTTGCATCCCTGCTTCGAAGGCGGCCTGCCTCCGGGGGGTTAGGGGGCCGGGGGGGAGGGCTTCTCAGAAGCGTCCCTGCTTCGAAGGCGCGGGCCTCCTCCGCAGGATGCAGGGTCAGCGCCTTGCAAGAGGCAGCCTCCTCCTCAGAGGCCTGCCCCCCTTCCCCTGCCCCCCTCTGCGCGCCGCCTAGAAGGGGCGGGCCTTCTCAGAAGGCTCCGAGCTCCCCCGGGCCTTCCGAGAAGTGCTCCGAGCCTTCCCCGAAGACGCAGAAGGCCTCTCAGAAGGCCGGAAGGCCTCCGAGAGGCCCCACCGCCCTCTGAGGAGGCCCCCCCCTCCTCGCTCGCCGCGGAGTCGTCCCTCAAGTCGGGTCTGCTGCTGCTTCTGCTGCTGCTGCTGCTGTTGCTCGTCGTCGTCGTCGTCGTCGTCGTCGTCGTCGTCTTCTCCGTCGTCGTCGTCGTCGTCGTCGTCGTCGTCGTCGTCATCTCCGTCGTCGTCGTCGTCGTCGTCGTCGTCGTCGTCGTTGTCGTCGTCGTCTCCGTCTCCGTCTCCGTCGTCGTCGTCAAAGTCAAAGTCAAAGTCAAAGTCAGATCTGCTGATGCTGCTCCTCCTGCTCCTGCCCCGGCCTGCCCATCCCCGCAGCCCAAACCCTATCGGGATGCACAAAATCATGACGGGAGGTCCTTCTCGCTGGTTTCGGCCTCTGGGGGACCTCACCGGGCCCTGGGACTGGCAACGTACGATCCGGGATGAGAGCCCGGCCCCGGGGAATGGGTCGAGAGCTTGTGGGGCCGACGCCACGGAAAGGTCATGATGTCGGGGGCCCGGGAGCCAAGACCGACCTCGGGGCTGAGCCCCTGCTCACTGCGGTCCCGGGCATGCCTCCGCCGTGTTTTTTTTTGTGGGGGGGCCTCGGCCCGGGGGCCCCCCCAGACTTGCGCGGCGCTCTGGGCACCCTGCATCCTCATATACGTCTGCTCCATCCCTGCGACTGCGCTTGGCCGTGCTCTTTGGCCCTCCTCCTCCTCAATCCTCCTCCTCCTCCTCGATCCTTCTCCCCGATCCTCATCGATCCTCCTGCCTCGTCCTCCTCGATCCTCCCTCCTCGATCCTCCTCGATCCCCCATCCTCGTCCCTCCCGATCCTTCTCCCCGATCCTCATGGACCCTCTCGGTCCCCGATCCTTCTCGATCCTCCTCACTCCCGCTGCCGCACTCCAGGCCAGGCCAATTCTGGGCTGAAGCCGAGGACGCCTCCGTCGTCCGTCGATCTTGGACCCAGGATCGGCCAGGATCGATGTACTGCAGAGGACCAGGAGGCGGCGCGACCCCCTCAGAAACAGCAGCGCGGAAATGCAGTCCCTCCACTGGCGTCGCGTATCATTAGGAGTGTCGTTATTCGTGGTGTGCTGACCTTCCGTCTTTCGGGGAGACCCTCCCCGACGTCTTCCTGCTAGCCCTCCGCATTCTGCACGGCTCTGTGGATCCTGGATCTTAAGGAAGCGGTTGCCTGATGGCGCGTCTGGAGCCCAGGAGTGAGGCGAGAGTTCTGCAGACCCAGGAGTGCTTGGGGCCCTCCCTGCGCGTCGCCGTCGCTGCCGCCGCCGCCGCCGTCGTTGTGGTCATGGCCGTCGTGGCCGTCGTCGTCGTCGTCATCGTCGTCGTCGTCGTCGGAGGAGGAGGAGGAGGAGGAGGAGGAAGGAGGAAGGAGGAGGAGGAGGAGGAAGGAGGAGGAAGGAGGAGGAGGAGGAGGAGGAGGAAGGAGCAGGAGGAAGGAGGAGGGGGAGGAGAGGGGGAGGAGGAGGCGGCGGCACGCGCTCGCCCTCGCCCGCGGGTGCCCGGACCATCGGGTGTCGTCGGTGGCAGCTCCGTGGAGCCTCGTGTGTCGGAGGCTGCTACTCGGGGGCGGCAAAGAGGGGGGTGATGACTAGGGGTGCACCCCCCCCCTCTTGGACACCCCCCTCTTGGCCGCTCCCGAGCTGCGGCGAGTCACCAGCGCCCCCCAGCGAGTTTTGCCAAGGCTCAGGTTCAAGTCGGGCATGGCCCTCTACAGGAGGAGCATCCAGTCAAAAAGTAGTAGGGGGACGATGCTTTGACTTGTTGTTGCTATGATTGCTTGTTGATTGACTATTTCTTATGTTCCTTCCAAAATCCGCGTGTAGGGGGACATGCCCGACCTGAGCTTAGGTCTTCAAGTTTCGCTGGCTGCTCCATTTTCCGATGCAGCCCGTTGCAACATTCTCATCATTTTCTCCCTGCTCCTGCTCTGGCCGTTTCTTTTGTTGTTCCTTGTGCCGCTCCTTCTCGCTCTTCTTCCTCCGCTCCTCCCGCTGCTTTTTCCTGCTGCCGCTGCTCCTCGTCGTCATCCACCTCATCTCTCCATTCTCCATTCCTCGTACCTTTTCGAATGCAGCTCCAGGGAGGTCAAATTCTGGCTTTGCCCTGGTCCGAAGTCTGGTCCAATTCGGCTTAAACCCGCTAGTTCCGCTTAATCGGGAGTAATCCCGCTTGGTGCCGCTTAATCCGCGGCCCAATCCGGCGAAGCAGCCCCCCAAGGGGAAATCTCCCTAATCCTTTTAATTTCGGGGAAACGTAAAGACTCGAGTACGCTGGAACTCGGGTTTGCCAGCGCCGCTGTTTGACGAGCGCGTCCTGTTTTCGTGAGATGCTGGCAGCGGGAGCTCGCGTCAAATCTCCGTCTGGATCTCGTCATTTTCATGATGGCCTCGTCAGACCCACCCGAGTCCCCCGCATGCAAGTCTTACTCCCCGATGGCTGGTCCCCTCGACTAAATTACCTGACTCTGTTGCCGCTCGCACTCCGATGCGGCATCAAAGCGGCCTGCTCGCCATCGCTCTCTTCGCCCCCCCCTTCTTCCCTCGGCGGCGAGCAAGGGGGAGACGTGAGAAGGAGAAGGCCTTCTCAGAAGGCGGGGGGACTTCTCAGGAGCCCCCGCGCCTTCTGAGAAGTTTTCTGTGCCTCCGGGGAAGGCTCCGAAAACTTCTCGGAAGGCCAGAGGACTTCCGAGCCTTCTGAGAAGGCCCGCCCCCTCTCTCTCTTTCCCCTTCCGGGGGGCGCCGCCTAACTAGTCGTCCCTCTCCCTTCCCGCGCCTCGGTCCCCCTCCCTTCGCCGTGCCTCGCCATCGCCGTCCTCCATTCCCCCCGGCCCTGCTCCCAGTCCTCCTTCGTGTTGCTTGTCCTCGCCCCCTCCGAGGTACAAGATCGAGGTTTGGTCGGGGAGTGTCTACCCCGATGTTCTGCTTGTTTTTACTGGACTTGCTTGTGCCTCCTGGGGAGGGCACCCCAGGATGTTCTGTGTGTCTTGGCTGGCGGAGGGTCTCATGTCCTTGAAGGGTGTTCTTCTGTCTTAGGTCCGATTGGAACATATATTGGCGAGAATAATGTGCTGGGATAAACCTGTTCCCAGAGATATGGATGCTAGGATACCTGGATCGCGTTTCGCCTGAGACATCCTCACAATCAGAGCTACGATAGGAACTTCGGAGGGGACAATAAAGTTTGGCCTCCCCGCCTGACGTTTTAACTGAGTCACGTTCAACCCCGTGGGTATAGAGAGCACAAGGGAAAGGGGGACTGCTCTATTATCCGGGGGTTGCGGTTGCATCATCTGGGCCTTCAAGCCCGCGTTGGATGGTGTCAGACATTTGACAATCATCATCACCATCACCACCGCTACGGTGGGGGGCATTGGGTAAGGAATGTGCCCAGGAGGCTGTAGACTGTAGACCCTGGAGGGTTCCTTATCTGATGAGGGTGGCAGTGATATCCATGGCAAAGCCTCGATTGGATTTCCACTGGCCTCCAGACCCTGGATTCCTGATCTGAGGGTTCCTCATCCGGTGCCCCCACCGTACCATGATGATCATCGTCGTCGCCATTCCTCCCGGCCACGTCCTCCCTGGCGCCCCTCGCCTGCCCGTGCCCGAGCAGGTGGTGCAGAGAGAGAGAGAGAGAGAGAGCGCCCCCCTTCGAAGGCCCCCTTCCCCCAGAGTGCCTCGCGTCGACGCGCCGCCTGCAGCTGGAGGGCGTGGCGGGTCAGAGCTCTAGGAGCTCGAGGGTCGAATCGTGCTTGAAGTCGGGCATGCCCCTCTCCAGGAGCAGTGTTCAAGAATAGTCAGCAGATAGCCTGGGGACGACTTTTGCCTCTGCTTAGCTATGTGTGAATATTCTTGGCTACTCTTCATCGCCTGCTAAAATTCGCCTGTAGGAGGACATGCCCGACCTAAAGCTGGATCCTCCCCGTCTCTGGCTCAATCGCCGCGGGTCCCTCCACCCGCCCCCCCGCTCCCCCACGGCCCACAGGTGGGCGACAGCGACATAGACGCCCTGGCCGACGTGATGACAACGCTCCAGGACGTGCGCGCCAAGACGAGCGAGATCGAGCTCGAGTTCACGCCCATCGAGCACATGTGGGGGGAGGGGAGGGAGGAGGAGGACGAGGAGCAGGAGAAGAACCACAGGAAGCCCACTGTGAATCGACGATGCTGAAATGCACCCTCCCTCCCTAAGGCCCTTGAAAAGTTCCTGCAGCCCTTCCCTCCCATTGCAGGGAGCGCCCCCTTGAAACACCAGCACCCGATGGGTGAATAGTTCAGGCTTGAGCCCCGTCTTGAAGAAGGAACTGCTCTGCATCCTTCCCCGGCGCATCAGAAGTGGTGCGACCGTGTATGATCAGCCAGCTCAGCGAGGTGTCCAGCGAGCTCCCCGTGTCTTGAGACAGGGCCGCCCGTCTGCGCGACTGTCTTCACCAAGCTCCCGGCTCTGGTCATGAGCCCTCCACGGTGGGCGTGTTTTCCACCACCACTGCCATAGGTCGGAGAGGGAGGAGGAGGCGGAGGAGGAGGAGGAGGCGGAGGAGGAGGAGGAGGAGGAGGAGGAGGACCTCCTCATCCTCCCCTCTCCCCCGCTCCGCATGTGGTGGTGCTGGTGGAAACACTGCCCGTGACTCCATCGCGAGCGCGAGAGGCCGCGAGAGCCGAAGCGTAACCGCCCTGCGCCCGTGCAGCGGATGCCCGCGTCTTCGATGCTTGCTTGCGGTTTTGATCCGGGCCGTCTCCAGGCGACATCCCCCGGGGCTTCGAGCAGGGGATGGGCTACAGAGTCGGTGTGTCCCAAAATTGCTTCCCCATCGAGTCCACGAGGAAACCCTAGAATGTCCGGAGTGTCTAGTTTCCCTAGAGTCGACGAGAAAACCAATTAGGGGGTACATCAATTCTGTGAACGATCCCCTACTCGAAGCTTGAACAGCGACGATTTCCAACCGTGTGACCGTTGCAACAGCTTCGAAGACGACTGTGCGCGGCGCTCAGAGGAGACCCTCGGTCCGACAGCGACCCGTGCTCCATCCTTGCATCTGTCTTGCCGCAAGCGTCTGGAACGAAAACGCGCGGCCCTTCGCAAACGTTTGGGACGCGCACGCGCGGCCCTGTAGCGAGAGCCCCATTTCGAAAACGACTTGCGCTCCATCCTTGCAGCTGCTGCAGACGCATGTGACGAGCATGCTCGGCGCTGAGGAAAGAGCCACACCATGGAAACGGCGACCCTCCATCCTCGAAGCTGTTTTAAATGTTGAACGTGTGCGCGACGCTGGAGCGATCTCACCATCTTGAGAAGGACCCCCCTCCATGTTTGAGGCTGCGGCGCACCTGTAGGACGAAGGTGCGCGGCGCTGGGGCGAGAGCTCCATGTTGGAAAGAACCTGTCTTTCGTCCGTGTATCTGTTGCAGGCGTTGAAAAAGACGAATGTGTGCGGCGCTGCGGCGAGAGCACCATTTCCCAAATACCCCCTTCTCTCTTCGAAGCTCTAGCAAACTGTAAGGCGAGCGTGCGTGGCGCTACTGTGAGAGCTCCATGTGTTGAAAGCGACCCCCGTCCATCGTTGAAGCCGTTCCAGATTTTGAAGACGAATGTGCGCGGCGCTGAGTCGATCGCCCCATTTTGAAATCCAAATGTTGCAATTTTTGAAGAACAATCCGTGCGGTGCGAAGACGTGATCCTTATGTTGAAAAGGAACTGCCCTCCAGCCTTGTATGACTTGCAGACTTTGCATACGAATGTGCGCGGCGCTAGCGCGAGAGTTCCATTTTGAAAGCGACGTGCGTTTCATGACTGCGCCTGTTGCAGCCGCTGAAGACGAACGTGCGCGGCGCAAGGGCGAATGTTCCACTCCGAAAGCCACCCACCTTCCATCCTTCTCAGGCGAAGCGCCTGGCCCACCCTGCCGACCCGATTGGGGGTGCTACAGGGAGCAACTATCTAAAATGACAACAAATAGATAGAGGAGAAGGATGGTTGACGCGTTCTGCCTTTTCTGGGCCCCTGTGGGGGCCCTCGTCTTCACAGCTGGATCCGCGCCGAAATCCCTGCCAGACCGCGTTCCGAGAGAGGTCGGAATTCCGATGCTGGACATACGATGAGGGAAGGGCGATGACCAGCCCATACTTCCTGTGAATCTGAAAGCGCAGGGTGCGCTTTACAGTGCTATGTGTGCTTAGCTAAGAACCCGAGACCCCTTTTCCTTAACCGTTTGGGTTCAAGGTGAAAGGGGGTCCGTCGACCCCCTTCCAGGAGTGCAGCTTGTCATGTACTGAAAAGGTGTTCGCTATCTTTACCTCCCGTTCAGAGTATTTCAGATTGTTTCAGATATCTTGGCGACCTTCGATGTCTTGGGAACCATCCGCATGTGGTAAGCGGAGCGACGGCTACGACGGCGGTTGTGATGATGTCACGTGGGATCGTGTCGAAGACGAACCTCAGGAGAACTATGAGGGCGACGGGGAGAAGCTGAGATGGTCACAGTCACGAGCGAGAGGGCAGCGAGGCGGACAGCACGACAGCATGAAAGGCTACCCTTGGGACCCCTGGGCGACGTGGAACGGCAGCTCAGTTTCCTGGGGTCGAACGTGGAGTCAGATGTCCAACTGGGGTGCTTGGAAGTGGACAAGCGAGGACGACGACTCAGGGGGTCCGGCAGGGAAGTACGAGTTGCGAGGCAAAGGCGGCTCAGGCGGCTCGGGCGGCTCGGAGGCGGACTCGGAGAGGTCAGTGCAGTCGAGAGGGTTCGGTATGCCAGAGCAGGTGAAGAAGACGATGGCAGAGGTGCACGGAAGACTCGAGTCGGGCGGGGGGTACGAGCAACACGACCAGCGACGTGGAGGTCGTAGAGGAAAAGACCCACCTGGCCCGACTTGGGACGGAAAGGACCTCAGCGAGTGGCCAGAGAAGAGGCTGGTCATAGACAGATGGAGCAGATTGGCGGCGGTACCACCCGAGGAGCAGGGCGAGACCCTGCTATTGCACTTGACTAAGGAGGCGGCGACGGCGACGCGGCACCTACGACCAGTTCGGTACAGTACGCAGGCGGTCTACAAGCAGTCATGTTGGCATTGGACACGCTGGCGTTCCCAGAGGCAGACGCGGGGACCTTCCAGCAGCTGGAGAAGACTCTCTTTGCGGCCCCTCGGGCAAGAGAAGAGACGCTGATGAAGTTCACCAATCGAGTACGAGCGGAACATAAAGAGTTTGAACGGCCACTCCCCAACGCATTGAATGACACGGTCACGGGCTTTTTGCTACTACGAGGAGCGGGTTTGGCCAAGACCGAAAGGAACCAAGTCCTCATCCAGACGGGCTACGACTACAACGTCAACAAGTTAGTCTCGGTCCTGAAGCGGATGACGGACGACAGCACGGTGACCGAGAAGAGTACACCCACAAGAGGGGCATACTTGGCGGGAGTAGACGAGGACGAGCCGCTGATGTCCGAGGACGGTGATGCAGAAACTGCCGTGTACGACGCGATGGCCAACCTGCTCGGGATAGACGACGATGGAACACCCGACGGACAATAACCAGCTGGCGATGGAGAACGGATCCTGACGGAGGTCGAGGCGCTCGACTGCCTCGCGGCAATCGTCCCACCACCGACGAAGCCGCGGACGTGGGGCGAGGCTCGGAAGATCGTGGCGGACAAGAAGACCAATCGGGGATTCCGCAACCTGCAGGACGGCATGAAGCTCAACGACAAGATAGAGGACATAAAGAAGCGCACGACGTGTGGCATATGTAAGAAGGCTGAACACTGGCATCGAGAGTGCCCCGACAATCCCAAGAACAAGAATAAGCCGACGGGAGGTCTCATCGCCGTGGCGGTGCTGCAGGACGACGAGATCTGCGCCTACATCGCGACAGAGGCAAAGATGGCGTAAAGGTCGAACCTAGCAGTGCACATCAACCTGGCGGTCGACATCAAGACGTCGGGCAGGCCGGGCTGGGGGGCACTCGACACGGCCTGCGGTTTCAACATGATGGGGCGGGACACCTACGCGAAGTGGGAGATGCACTACAAGAAGGAGCACGGCATCACGCTGCAGACGATCCCGTACCACAAGAAGTTCAGGTTCGGCAGTGGCCAGGTCTGCGCGGCGACGGACGGGGTGATCATCCCGATCATGCTGGGCGACTTCGTCGGTATCGTGTTTGCGTGCTTGGTGCAGGGAGCTGATCCACTTTTGTTGTCCAAGACTTTCGTCGTGGGGCTGAAGGCGTCCCTCCGTGGATTTCAGTCTGAGTTGGATTTGCCTGGGCAGAGCCTGCGACCCCCTTTGGCTCACGCTGGAGGGGGGCACTTCTTGCTGCAGCTGGATAACTGCACGAGACCGTGGGGTAAGCTTGAAAGCTGGACACTGTGCGCGAAAGAGGTTTCTATGGATTCCAGCTCCAGGACCGAGTATAAGCATCCCTCCACCTTTCTCATCTCTGAGGACCTCTTAAACGACGATGGTTTTAAGTGTCGAAGTTGGAACAAACCAACAGGCAGCAAGCAGTAGGACAGCAAAGAGCGCCAGACAAAAAGCAGCACACATAGCAAGACAACTGCGAGGAGGAGGGTTATCGGGGGGAGTGCATAAACAGAAGGTTCAGGTTAACAAGCAGAACATGGACAATCGCAAACACGTGGACAGCATCAACAACAAGCACGTGAACAACAGAAACGCCGTGAACAGTATCAACAGCAAGTGCGAGAACAGCATAAATGACGAGAAAAGCATCACCAACAAGCACCTGAACAACATAAATGACAACAGCGTCCAGTTCCGTCAGCATTTAGGCTCGAGCCGAACGTGCAGAACGTCTTTGGACTACTTCCATATTTACATGTCATGCGACGAACGCTCGCAGCATTTGTTTTCTTTGCGTGCAGCAGAAGGTGTCGCCGCCGAGGGGGCGGCAGTCGGACGCCAACAAGGGCCAGGCCAAGACGACGGCGCCGAAGTTCAAGCGGCCCTGGCACGAGGTCAGCTCGGAGAGCCGACCGCCCACAGGAGTGATGATGTGTCGCTACTACGGCGTGGAGAACCAAGGACCTCGGACCCCAGCTGTGGGCACGAGGGTCAGAGATCGCGACCCC